GTAGAGTCCTATTGATGAAGCCCGTGGAACAAGAAAGCCTTATGAACGTAGACAGTAAACCATGTGGAAATAATGCTTTACTTCTCTGTAAAGCGGAAATAATAACATCACCGGAAGTTGCTTGGGCGTGCTCAATATTAAATCGCCTTTCGTGAGACAAAGCGAGGCCCGTCGCTGGTGTGCGATGAATGGGTCCCGTCTTCTTGACCCGTAACCTCTGTCCGGTCGTTTTCCAGAGTTCGGGGGAAACGCCCTCAGCAAGTCCTGCATCTTCCCCTCCGTCTACAGAAATAACGTGATCTCCGAGTGCGTCGAGAACGACGACAACAAGCTCTGGTGTCCAACCACAGAGAACATGGACAAGGACGGGCTGTGGAGCTTCTGTGCAGACACCAGTAATCCAGGGGGTGGGAACTGGGTGGGCGGGCAGACCCTTCCTTTATTTACTCAACAGACGCCCCTCCAGCCCCACTGTGGGCCAGTCACTGTGAGGGGCTCTGGGGATAGAATGAGGCAGAGTCCTCTTCTCACTGGTTTGATGAACAAGTAGCATAAATATGAATTTTAAGGGTGTTTGTTTGGGTTTTTTTGCCTTGTTTTGTTTTGTTTTGTTAATCCTCACCCAAGAATATTTTTTCCATTGATTTTTTTTTTCTTTTAGAGTGAGTGGAAGGGAGGGAGAGAGTGGGGAGAGAGAAACATTGATGTGAGAGACACATCAATAGGTTGTCTCCCACGTGTGCTCCCACCAGGGCCAAATATTGCACTGCAACATACCCTTGACCTGGAATTGAACCTGAGACCCTTCGGTGCATGGGGCAAACTCTAACCATTGAGAAACACTGGTTTCTCAATGGTTAGAGTTGTTCTGTTTTTCTTATTCCTCACCGAGGATATTTAAGGGTGTTATTTTTTAATCCTATAAAATAAAACCTAATATGCTAAGTGTCTAGTTGACCGGTTGGCCATTCAACCAATCAAAAAACAATATGCTAATGATTTGCTAAGGTCACTCAACCACTCACTATGACATGCACTGTCCACCAGGGGGAAGACATTCCAACCGGTAGGTTAGCTTGTTGCTGGGGTCCATCAGATCAGGACTGAGCAAGATAAGCCAGGCAGGCCCTGGAGCCCTCCCACGGTCCCTCCCCAGTTGGCCAACCTCCCATACCCCTCCCCAGCCCTAATCATGCTCTGGTGGGGTCCCTCAGCCTGGCCTGCACCCTCTCACAATCCGGGATCTCTCAGGAAATGTCAGAGAGCCAATTACAACCCAATCTCACAATTCAGGCAGAGGGACCCCACTGGTGCACCAAACCTCTAGTCTATTAATAAGAAAACTAGAACAGTAAGAAAACCAGTTCAACCGAAACCGGTTTGGCTCAGTGGATAGATCGTCAGCCTGCGGACTGAAAGTTCGATTCCGGTCAAGGGCATGTACCTTGGTTGCCCAGTAGGGGGTGTGCAAGAGGCAGCTGATCGATGATTCTCTCTCATCGATGTTTCTAACTCTCTATCCCTCTCTCTTCCTCTCTGTGAAAAATCAATAAAAATATTAAAAAAAAGAAAAGAAAAAAAGAAAAGAAAAAGAAGACCAGTTCAAAGTACAGATTTCTTCACTGAAATAATATAATCAGTGAAGAAAAGAATGCCGAGCAGAAACAAGATTGCTAAATCCTGTATAATAAAAGCCTAATATGCAAAAAGGCAGAATGACTGGTGGAACGACCAGTTGCTATGAGGTGCACTGACCACCAGGAGGCAGATTCTCAATGAAGGAGCTTCTCCCAGCCCCCAGGGCCCAGGCCAGCCAAGGTGGGTGCCAGCATCTCCCTGCAGGTCGCCCCACCGGGTGCCCCGAAGATTGGCCCTAATCATCAGCCAGGCCTGGGGATGCAACCCATGCACAAATTTCGTGCATGGGGCCTCTAATTAGATATAAAATACATTCACATCTAAAGTGGTTATCAAACCTTTGGGGTTATTGACATCTCTACTGAGCCAAAATTATTCAAAACACATCAATCTTCTACCAGTTACAGCTTCGGGGCCTCCAATCCATTAGCAGATAGGAAATCAAACAAAGTTATATGTCCCTTCAGCAGCCGTCTGCAAACTCCCACCTATGGGCCGAATCTAGACAAACTCTTCTTTCTTTCTTTTTTAAACTGATTTTTGGGGGGTTTTCTAGAGAGAGAGAAGGAGAGAGGGGAGAGGGAAGAGAGGGAAACATCGATTTATTGTTTCACTTCTTTGTGCATTCATTGGCTGATTCTTGTGTGTGCCCTGACCGGGATTGAACCCACAACCTTGGTGTTTCAAGCGACGCTCTAACCAGCTGACTAACCTGGCCAGGGCTGGACAAATGCTCTTCTCATACAGCCCCCGATCCAATGATAGTTCTTACATATTTGTGTATGCTTTAAAAAAGAGGAAGAAGAAGAAACCCATTTTGTGACAGGTGAAAATGACATGCAATTCAAAATTAAGGGTCCACCTCAGTCATTAAAGCGTCAGCCCATGCACCAGGGGGTCACAGGTTCAATTCCCAGCCAAGGGCACATACCTGGGTTGCAAGTTCAATACACAATTCGGTTGGGGTGCCTGCAGGAGGCAACCAATTGATATGTCTCACCTCTCTCCCTCCCTCTCTCTCTCTCTCTCTCTCTCTCTCTCTCTCTCTCTCCTTTTTCCTCCCTTCCACTCTCTCTAAAACCCAATGGGGAAAGTGTTCTCGGGTGAGGATTAACAAAAACCAGGGTCCGTACGTAAAGTCTCACTAGCTCGCAGACATGCCCATTGCCTACGGATTGTCTGTGGCTGCCTTCCCGTCACAGTGGTGGCATGAAGATGGTGGCAAACACTGCGTGATGCTCAAAGCCGCACCATCTGGCCCTTTTCAGGAAGTGTGCTGACGCTGAGCTAGAGAATCGGGTGTCCCTTAGGAGCGTGGCCTTGGCAGCAGACAATGGTCTAGCCCCGTGGTCAGCAAACTGCGGCTCTCGAGCCACGTGCGGCTCTTTGGCCCCTTGGGTGTGGCTCTTCCACAAAACACCACGGTCCGGGCGAGTCTATGTTGAAGAAGTGGCGTTAGAAGAAGTTTAAGTTTAAAAAAGGTGGCTCTCCAAAGACATTTCAATCGTTGTCCTGTTGACATTTGGCTCTGCTGAGGAATGAGTTTGCCGACCACTGGTCTAGGCCAGCATTTCGCCCCTCCCCCGGGAGCCGGGGCCACGCCCACACCACAGGCCTGCGCTTTCACAAAGGCCCGGGGATAACCACCGCCTGGTCTCCTTCTTCTCCAAGGGGTCACCTCCCTGGTGCCCAGCTCCCCCTGCCACTTCCCCTTCAAATACAAGAACAAGAATTACTTCAACTGCACCCGCAAGGGCTCCGAGGAGAAGCTCCTGTGGTGCGCCGCCTCCTACAACTACGACGAGGACCGCACCTGGGTGTACTGCTGACGCCGGGTAAGACCATGGGGGGCGGGAGGGGGGGCGGGGGCGCAGGGACCAAGCCTGGGGCGTGGCTGATGTGAACGTGGGTCAGGGAGCACCGGGGTGGGGTGGGGGGGGGCTGGGGAGGGGTGCACCATTGATGGGAAGGTGGGATCCTTTCCTCCCAGCGTGTACCATCTGCCCAGGTTCCCAGCCAGGCGAGCTGCCTCCCCCGGAGACCAGATTGAGAGTGTATGCGTTGATGATGAGTGAGCGAGTAGGATCGTGCGATTTCTCCAGCCAGAGCTGCTGGGGAAAGACGGCCTTCCGGTCCCGGGCAGCCCTCCTGTGTGGGTAGCCCGCTGCCCCCAACGCTGCGGGGCTAACCGAGGGCCAGGCGGGGTCCCCGTTTCTTCCTGGTCCTCTGGGCCCCGCCCCACCTCAGCGCTTAAGCCAGCTCCCTCTGCAGGACCAGCTCTCTCCTCCCTTTTTTTCCTCCTGAGTCCCTCCTGCCTTCATTCTCTCCATGCCGGTCAGGACTCTCAGGCGCATGACTTGGGTGCACCCCTGAGAGTTTTGCAGCAGCTGGGCCCCGGTTTCCCGAACCGGCTCCTGTGGTTGGGGGTGGTTGTTGCATTGCTGCTATTTTATTTATTTTATTTTTTTTTTTTAAAGAGAAATGCCCCAGGAGTGGAAAGAAAACAGTGAAATTGCTGTTTCACTCTCAGCTCTTAAGTAATTTTCGAAAACACGGTTCTTCTAAGGAAAAGCTTATGACCCGGCCTGTTCCATTTCTGTCTTCACTGTAATTAATTCCCACACCACCTGCTCGTCCAGGTCCTTCTCTCGCTGGCGGTTCGGTCCTCACCACGCGGAGGGCCCGGCCGCGGAGGCGATGCTGGTGCCCAGCGCGGGCTCTGAGCTCGCTTTCTCCGCGGGAGAAACGGGTCTCCCGTTTCCGTGTGAGGTTTCTCCCGATCTTTCCCTCCAGCAGCCGCTTTTCTGTTAGAAGCGGCTTCCGTGCAAAGGTGGAGCCTGTATTTGGGACCGCATTTCTTTGAACCTTCTCACTCTGAAGCCAGGGTCCCGGGACCCGGTGTGGGAGCAGCCTGGGCAGCGGGCGCTGTGCCGGCAGCAGGCACCTGTGTGCACGTGTTCATCCTCAGGCGCCGAGCACCCCGCCCTCGGGGGGGGACCAGAGCCCGGGAGCGGAGGGACTGGCCCCTCACGGGGCTCCCGGCCCCCGGGAGTGGGGGGCTGGGATCTGACCCCACAGTCTGGTTCCAGAATCCACACCCGACTCCGCTGCTCTGCGTCTGGGCCTGATAATGCCAACCGCCCAAACCACCGCGGTCACAGCTGGCATTTCTTAAGCGCTGCCGCGGGCCAGGGCGGCCCCGCGGGCTCCTTGTCTTACTGAGCCCTCACCACAGCCACCGCTCAGCCCGCGGTTCGGGTCAGGGCACGGCCAGAGGCGCAGGGGCGGGAGGAGGCTTCGGTGGGGAATGGTTAGCGAGGACAAGGCCGGGCCACAGGAAGTCCCATCACCACCCTCCCCAGGTGGACAGTGAGAAGGGCATCTCCCTCCGCTTCCCGCGGTTTGTTCGCGTCCGTGAAGACAAGACGCCGGAGGAGGCCACCACCAGCTCCCAGGTGAGGCCGGGAGGGGGCGCTCCTGGCCCGAGAGCGGATCGGAGAGGGGGGCGCTGACCTGCGGTGGGCGTGAGGGGCGGAGCGGCCCTGGCTCTGACCGCCGCCGGCCCTGTCTCCTAGGTGGCCTGGCTGTACCGGAGGCAGAGTCTCCAGGAGGACACAGACCAAGACTCCGACCCGGACCTGGAGGTTTCCTGCTAGGCCCTGCCCTCCGGACGGGCGGCCGGCACCGCCGGCGTCAGAAGCAGACGTGGTGTGGTGTCAGTGTGTGTGCGGGTGTGGTTTAACGTGGGGATTTAGTCGTTTCTAAAAAAATAAATAATTATTAACCCCCGCTCCGTGTCCAGGTCTTGCCGGGCTCTGGGGGTGCTCTGAGAGCTCACGTGTGGAGCACGCGTGCCAGCGGCTGCTGAAGCAGCGCCTTCCAGCAGCGACAGGAACCTCTTCCCCCGCAGTGTGCACTGTGACAGCCGCCGGCCACTGGCCAGCACTTGAAATGTGGCCGGTGCAATGAGGACATAGTCTTATATTTATTTTTACTTATATATTAAAATGCTAAAGGCCTGGTGCTGAAAATTGTGCACTGGGTGGGGAGGGCAGGGGGCAGTCCCTCAGACCAGCCTGCACCCTCTGGCAGCCTGAGCACCCTTGGGGGATAGCCGCCTGCCACTGCGCTGCCGGCTCCCCCTGTGACCACCTGGGCAGCTTCTGCATTGAGCATCTGCCCCTGGTGGTCAGTGGATGACATAGCAACCAGTCCTGTCATTTAGCCAATTTGCATATTAGCCTTTTATTATATAGGATGTTTTTTATTGATATTTAGAGAGAGGAAGAGAGAGGGATAGAGAGAATCACGAATGAGAGAGAAACATCGATAGGCTGCCTTCTGCAAGCCCCCTACTGGGGATCGAGCCTGACATGGGGGCATGTGCCCTGACCAGGAATCGAACTGCTGATCTCTTGGTTCCTGGGTCAGTCTCAGCCACTGAGCCACACTGGCTGGGCTCTATTTCTTTTTAATTAAATTTCACCTGAGTAGCTCCATGTGGTTAGTGGCTATTGCATTGGGCAGTGGCAGTTTCAACCTTAGAAACTCATTTAACCTCCCAGCCACCTAACCTGGGGCCACCGTCCCAGAGGACAGGGAAGCACAGGGGGGGAGGGGCTCGCCCAGGGCCGGAGCGGGTGTGCTGGCACCGGCCCGACTCCACTGGTTCTGGGCCCACACCTTTCGGGGACGGGAAGTTACAGTGACGTGCCAGACCCAGCTCCGCCTCGCACCCCTGGGGCTAGGCCCGGCCTCCGTCCTCACCCGGCCTGTATGCCTGGACTGACACGTGGGGCCGGCAGTGGCTGTGTGTGTCTTGCTCATCCCAATAGGCCCAGCCCCAGCAAGATGCCTGGAGCCAGCCCTCCCCTCCCCACCTCACCTGTGCACACCATGCGGGGGGGGGTTCCTGAGGAACGAGCCAGGGGAGTCAGAGGAAGCGGCCCCTTAACCAGCGAACCCAGGGCAGCCACTGCTGGCAGCTTCTCATCCTGGGGGCGGCGATTACCTTCCCTCCCCCGATAAAATGGCTTTTGTGTCTCAGCTAAGAGTTCCTGAGAGCTCTGTCTTAAAGGACCAGTATGCACCCATGTTCATCACGTTCCATAAAATGCTTACGGCAGTAATATGTGATGGGGTGTCAGGCATTGTGCCTGGGGGTCCCGGTGTCCGTCTTGCTCTGTGCGGAGCCCACGGTTCCTTTAGGTGAGCAACGGGGTCCCACTCCCTACACCCCACAGGCCTCTGGGAACACACATCCGGAGCAGCCCCGGCTGCCATGTCCTTCTGCCAGGGCTGGGCAGGGGTATCCTCTCACCAAACACCCTCACCTGCCCCACCAGGTCAGGACTTTCATTATCCCAGTTCACAGACAGGACCCTGAGGCCCAGGAATGGAAGGCCCTTTCCCTCGGCCCACTGCCCAGGAGGCGGGACCGGGATCTGGTCCAGGCTGTTGACAGGAGGCCTGTGTGCATTGCCATGGACTAGTGTCTCCCGAGAGTAAGGGGACCAGACGTCCCGCTTTTGGCGGGAGAGTCCCGATGTTTAACCATTTGTCCTGCGTCGTTTTAAGACAGTCTCGATTAAAAAAAAAAAAAAAAAAAAAATCGGAACTGTTTCAAAATACGCGGGACTCCGGACAAATTGTTAAAAATCGGGACGTCTGGTCACCTTAGCGGGCCTCGTGTGCCCCTGCGAGGAGCTGGCGCCTTATGCCCAGGCACGGAGGTGGCAGGTCTGGGGGAAAGAGATGGTGCTGACACTGAAGGGATGGAGTATAAGACACTGAAGGGGTGAGCCTGGAGTCGGAGGGAGCAGAGACCATGGTCCCCCCATCCCCCGGTGAAACCACGTTCCTTATAAAAACCGTTGAAACATTCAAGGGGCGAGGATGATGGGAGCTGGGCTCTGGGAGGTTGGCAGGAGCAATAGCTCATTATGCATATGAATTGAAGTGCATAATCTCTATTTGACACATGACTGGTGATGTTCATTTTAATCCTTTGATTAAGATGGTGTCTGCCTGGTTTCCCCTCCAAGAAGCAGCTCTCCTTCGACAGTAGTATTTTGTGAGGAGGCATTGAGCTACGTAAATATTGTCACACTTTCCAGTGATCTTTAAAAATATATATATTTTTATTGATTGCAAAGAGAAAAACATCGATGATGAGAAAGAATCACTGATTGGCTGCCTCCTGCACACACCGCAAGGGGATCGGGCCAACAATGTGGGCATGTGCCCTTGACCAGAATTGAACCTGGGGCCCTTCAGTCCTCAGGCTGTTGCTCTATCCACTGAGCCAAAGCAGCTAGGGTTCCACCAATGTTTGTTTGTTTTTTTTTCCTTTAAATATATGTTATTTATTTTTATAGAGAGGAAGGGAGAGAGATAGTTAGAAACATTGATGAGAGAGAATCATCGATCAGCTGCCTCCTGCACGCCCCCCACCGGGGATGTGCCTGCAACCAATGCACATGCCCTTGACCAGAATCGAACCCGGGACCTTTCAGTCCGCAGGCTGACGCTCTATCCACTGAGCCAAACCGGTTTCGGCTCCACCGATCTTTTAAAAAAAAATCTGTGTGGCTCAGCTGGCGTGGCTCAGGGGTTGAGTGTTGACCTATGAACTAGGAGGTCATGGTTGGATTCCCGATCAGGGCACAGCCTGGGCTACGGACTTGATCCCCAGTGGGGGGCATGCAGCAGGCAGCCGATGGATGATTCTTTCTCATCATTGGTGCTTCTCTCTCTCTCTCTCTCTCTCTCTCTCTCTCTCTCTCTCTGAAATAAATAAAAATGTACTTTTAAAAAATATGCTAAATCTGGTTTTTCCTCCATAGATAGTCCCAGGTTCGATTCCGGTCAAAGGCATGTACCTTGGTTGCAGGCACATCCCCAGTAGGGGGTGTGCAAGAAGCAGCTCATTGATGACTCTCATCAATGTTTCTAACTCTCTCTCCCTTCCTCTCTGTAAAAAATCAATAAAATATATATATGAAAAAAATCTCTTTGGACTCCCAGTTTCCCGTGTTATCTAATATAATTAATTGTTTATTTTGATTTTCGATTTGCCCCGTGACCTGGGCCGGACCTGAGCATTCGTAACCTGCTCCGATGTTTCAGGCTCATCTCACACGGTCCTCTCGGCCTGGAACGGGCCGTGTCTCCCCGGAGCTGGCTTCCCGTGCTGGAGCATGGCATTTAGGAGCCCAGATCTGGGTGCGAGAGGTGCTCCCTCACCAACCGGGTGCGCTGCTCCCCCTCTGAGAGCTGAGGACACACATTCATGCTCAGCTGCGGCTGTGGAATCCGTGACGACACACCAGTGCCCCAGCTCCCGCCCAGCACCCCAGGGCTCCTCCTCCCCCCCCCCCCCTTTCTGTCTGAACAAGGCCCTTTTCCAGCCGTGAGGAGCCGGGCCTCCGTTAGCCTTCACGGAATCCACACGTGTGACCGGGCTCCTGTCCCCCTTCTGTGGGGACACCTTTCTCACGCTGATCTGGCTGCAGCAGCCGGCACCATGCCCCCCACGAGTGGACTTCCCAGGACACACCCCCGGGGCGGGCGATGACACCTGCATAGATAGATTTCCTCCTCGGAGGGCCCAGGCTCCGGTTCCCACGCAGGCTGCTCCTGCAGGCCCACCCTCCCCTTCCCAGGCCCAGCCCCTCAGGCCGGCTGCCCCTCTGCCGGACACCGCCCTCACTCCAGAGCAGGCGTCTTCAAACTACGGCCTGCGGGCCACATGCGGCCCGCAGAGGAGTCTGATCCGGCCCGCCAGGTTTTTTGGGCAGTGAGCGCAGCTGAGGTGTTACAGTAGGAATTAGTAGTTCATATAGTCCGGCCCTCCAGCTCTCTGAGGGACCGTGATCTGGCCCCCACTTTAAAAAGTTTGAGGACCCCTGTTCCAGACCCTGTTTGACCTCTGGCTCCCCACAGGGGTGGCCCCCACTTCTCTCTCGACCCTCCTGGCCTCGGGCTCCGATCCCATGACATCGCACCGTGACCCCTGCACCAGCTAGATGCCCGCCTTCTCCATTCTCCCCCACCCCCCACCCCAATTCCCACGTTATTCAGAAAGGAAGCGAGGACATGAGCATGGGAAGAGCAAACACCAACCTCTTTTTTTTTTTTTCTTTCCCCAAAGTATATTTTATTGACTTTTTACCGAGAGGAAGAGAGGGATAGAGTTAGAAACATCCATGAAAGAGAAACATTGATAAACTCTCTCCTGACACTCCTCCCCCCCACTCACCGGGGACGTGCCCACAACCAAGGCACATGCCCCCGACCGGAATCGAACCTGGGACCCTTCAGTCTGCAGGCCGACGCTCTATCCACTGAGCCACACCGGTTTTGGCAAACAGCAACCTCTTCACCACTGTCACGCCTCCTCCCTGCTGGCCGGGGCCCGTTCCAGACTCACACAGAAGCTCCTCGGGGGTGACAGAGGATGCCCGTTGGACTCCAGCAGACCCGGCCCTGCCCCTTACCGATTGCATACGCCTAAAGCAAGTGACTCCGTGACTCAGCCTCCGTCTCCCCATCTGTAAAATGGGGACGTGTGACCGGCCTCAGGAGCCGTTCTGAGGATCCAATGGCACCAGGGACTCAACGCCCTTGGCCCAGGGCGGGGCACCCAGCAAGCTGTGCAAGGTCACCCACCGCTGGGCGAAGTCCTCTCCGTCCGCACACGCCCGGAGGCCAGGGGGGGCCAGGCTGGGCGGGACGCCACCCTCGCTGAGACACCTAATGAACGGGTGCCCTCTGCTCTAATCCCCACCTTTCTAAACTCTAATTCCATTCCCGGATAAAAGGTCAGAGCCCGAGACCAGCTGTGCCTCCGTCTCCCCCGAGCCAGATGGGGAGGGAGGCAGGGGCACTCTGATCCTTCCCCGCCCAGAGGAGACTTCCGCCCCAGCTGCCACAGCTCCCGGACCCGGGCACCGGGAGAGGCTGGGAGAGGCCGAGAAGTGACAGAGAAGACACGGAGGCCGAGCCACCGAGGGGGCTGGGAGGAGGGGAGCCGCCCTGAGCCTGGTGCCTGTGAGCTCCGCGCGGCCCGCCATGCAGCTCCCCATGGGCCCCGCCTGCATCTTCCTGAGAAAAGGCATCGCAGAGAAGCAGCGGGTGAGGCGGGGCCGCAGGGGGGATGGCGGGCGGGGCAGCCTGGGCCGTGGAACAGGGAGCAGGCGGGGAGCGTGAGCTGAGGAGAGGAGGCTCCAGGGAGCAGTGGGGACATGAGGGCCAGTGAAATGGGGGAGGATGAAAGGGGAGGGGAAGCGGGGGAGGAAAATGGAAGGGGAACTGGGAAGATGTCAGCATCAGGACAACAATCATTTTCCCTGTGGATACCCTCAGTGGATGAGGAGGCTTGCTGGCACTCATCACTGCTGTGTGCCCAGCCCTGTGCAAAGGGCTTTGCGTCCCTGATGCCACTGAGTCCTCAGAATGGCTTCTGAGGTCAGTAATACTTTCATTCCCATTTCACAGATGAGGAGCCTGAGGCTGAGGCTGAGTCACTTGCTTTAAGCTTATGCAATCACTGAGTGGCAGGGCCGGGTGTGTTTGTTCCAATGGGCACCTTTTGTTAGGCTCTAGATCTATAGATATAAAAGCCTAAGTGACTAATCTATATATATATAAAAGTCTAAGTGACTAGTCTATGTATATAAAAGCCTAAGTGACTAGTCTATGTATGTAAAAGCCTAAGTGACTAGTCTATGTATGTAAAAGCCTAAGTGACTAGTCTATGTATATAAAAGCCTAAGTGACTAGTCTATGTATGTAAAAGCCTAAGTGACTAGTCTATGTATGTAAAGGCCTAAGTGACTAGTCTATGTATGTAAAGGCCTAAGTGACTAGTCTATGTATATATTGATAAAAGCCTAAGTGACTAGTCTATGTATGTAAAAGCCTAAGTGACTAGTCTATGTATGTAAAAGCCTAAGTGACTAGTCTATGTATGTAAAAGCCAAAGTGACTAGTCTATGTATGTAAAGGCCTAAGTGACTAGTCTATGTATGTAAAAGCCTAAGTGACTAGTCTATGTATGTAAAAGCCTAAGTGACTAGTCTATGTATATAAAGGCCTAAGTGACTAGTCTATGTATGTAAAAGCCTAAGTGACTAGTCTATGTATATAAAGGCCTAAGTGACTAGTCTATGTATGTAAAAGCCTAAGTGACTAGTCTATGTATGTAAAAGCCTAAGTGACTAGTCTATGTATGTAAAAGCCTAAGTGACTAGTCTATGTATGTAAAAGCCAAAGTGACTAGTCTATGTATGTAAAGGCCTAAGTGACTAGTCTATGTCTGTAAAAGCCTAAGTGACTAGATGAGCGGATGACCAAACGACTGGGTCGACCGGTTGCTATGATGCACACTGACCGCCAGGGGGCAGACACTCAGTGCAGGAGCTTCCCCCTGGTGGCCAGTGTGCTCCCACAGTGGGAGTGCCACTCAGCTGACCGTGGGGGAGCCAGACGCCGGCTGGCAAGCGCAGCTGTGATGTGAGCCTCTCCCGCCCCACGGCACCGCCACGGAGCGGAGGCAGCAGGCGCAGTGGGGCCGGACGTGGGCTTTTTCCCGGCCACCTGCCGCTTCATGCACTATAACGAAGTCCCTCGGGGGGTGTCTGCCTGCCGGTTTTGGTCCAATCCCCGTTGGCCTGGCCCCAAAACTGGCAGTCCGACATCCCCAGAGTGACTGCGAGAGGGCGCAGGCCAGGCTGAGGGACCCAGCCCATGCATCAATGTGTTAGCAAGTCTAATAGTAACAACAGAGTGAGGGCGGGGACCTGGAGGAGGGACTGGGGTAAGGCTTCAAGGACAAGGGGAAAAGGGTGAAAGAGACTAGAGGGGGGAGGAGTTTCCCGGTGGAGGGCCTCCTAGCCAAGCCTGGCCCTGCAGGCATGCCCAGGAGGGGTGGCAGCAGGAAGGAATGGGGATTCCTCCAGGTTTTAGGAATCGGTCCTGCAGGCACTGGCCATCCCTCCTGGCCGCCCCTGGACACTGGTCCCCCACAAAGTGATTCTAACTCTCGGGAGAAAGAGTCAGAAATTCTGGCCTGGAAAGAATTCCAACCTGGGAGCCGGGAGCCCTGAGTCCACCTCTCAGCATGCGCTGCAGCCGGAGTGGCGTGACCTGGGGCAGGCTCCCTGACCTCTGTCCCTCAGCTTCCCCGTCAATGAGATGAGAATGGTCTCTGGGCCGACCTCGCAGAGCGGTGCAGAGGGTTAAAGGGAGCGAGTGTGGCAGCTGCCCGGCAGAGTCAGCCATCAGAGCACACTCGCTGTGACTGTGAGACGCACCTTTTTAAAAATATATATATTTTACTGATTTCTTACAGAGAGGAAGGGAGAGGGAGAGAGAGCTAGAAATATCGATGAGAGAGAAACATCGACCAGATGCCTCCCGCACACCCCTTACTGGGGATGTGCCCGCAACCAAAGTACATGCCCTTGACTGGGATCAAACCTGGGACCCTTCAGTCTGCAGGCCAATGCTCTATCCAAGCTCACCTTCTTCATCTGGAGAAGGAGGGGGTTGGATTCGATGGCCTCTGAGCTCCCAGCCGGCACAATGGCATGGCTGTCTCTTTGGGTAAGATGGAGGGAGAGAGATCAAGATTTAAGGATGGGCCAAAACTGGTTTGGCTCAGTGGATAGAGCATTGGCTTGTGGACTGAAGGGTCCCAGGTTTGATTCTTGGTTGGAGGCACATCCCTGGTGGGGGTGTGCAGGAGGCAGCTGGTCAGTGTTTCTAGCTCTCTATCTCTCTTCCTTCCTCTCTGTAAAAAAAAATCAATAAAATATATTTTAAAAATTGTTTAAAAAAAAAAAAAGATTCAAGGATGGGAGAAAGGCAAGGAGAAGGGTGAGGAGGAGGGCCATGACTGTGGACTGGGAGTCGGGGGGCAGGAGGAGGAAGAGGAAAGGGTGGAGGGAGCGGGGAGGGGAGGAGAGACAGAGAGGGGGCGGGGAGAATAGCTTGGGGGAACGTGGGCGCCTGTTTGGAGAATTGATAATGCTGGCTCCCTGACTCTCTCTCCCATCTCCATCTCCCTGGCTTCCCCTCCAGGAACGACTCCTCGGACAAGACGAGATTGAAGGTAACGCCTGCCCCCCAACGGCCCCACATCACTACCCACCTCCTTGCCTGCTCTCTGTCCTTTTGTGCCGTTCAGTGTCTGTCCCCTCACCCGAAAAGTTCGCATTGCGCTCCTGCCACTCAGCGGTGATTTTGTGGAGCCCTTTCTCATGGCGGTGAGGTCCCCCCAATTGTTTAGAAGGCATACCCATCCCCGGGTGTCTCAGAGACCCAGGGGGGACACATGAGTCTTAGAATAAATACAAAATTATTGATTCTTCTTCTTCTTTTTTTAATTAAATATATTTTATTGATTTTTTTACAGAGAGGAAGGGAGAGGGAGAGTTAGAAACATCAATGCTGAGAGAGAACCATTCATTGGCTGCCTCCTGCATGCACCCCACTGGGGATGGAGCCTGCAACCAGGCATGTGCCCTTGTCTGGAATTGAACCTGGGATCCCCTTCCCCCCCCCCCCCCCCCCCCCCCCAGTCCACAGACCAACGCTCTGTCCACTGAGCCAAATCCGGTTTTGGCACTGGTTCTTCTTTTAAAAAAAATATTTTTATTAATTTCAGAGAGGAAGGAAGAGGGAGAGATAGAAACATCAATGATGAGAACCTCTGATCGGCTGCCTCCTGCACGCACCCCACTGGGATCGATCCTGCAACCAGGCAGGTGCCCTTGACTGGAATCGAACCTGGGACCCTTCAGTCTGCAGGCCGACACTCCATCCACCGAGCCAAACCGGCTCTGGCATTGGTTCTTCTTTTGATGGTTTTGAACTCTCCCGTAGCTTCGCCCAAGACGGGGAGGACTTCTTGGCCACGGTCTGGTGGCCTCTTGCTAACGCATCTCATGCATCACTCCTTCTTGAAAAATACTGGCTTTTAAAAACATGTTCTCTCCGAAACCGGTGTGGCTCAGTAGGTAGAGCACCGGCCTGAGGACTGAGAGGTCCCAGGTTCGATTCCGGTCAAGGGCATGTACCTTGGTAGCGGGTGTGCAGGAGGCAGCTGGTCGATGTTTCTAGCTCTCTATCCCTCTTCCTTCCTCTCTGTGGAAAAATCAATAAAATATATTAGAAGTAAATACCGTATTTTTCGGACCATAAGACGCTCCGGACCATAAGACGCACCAGTTTTTAGAGAAGGGAAATGAAGAAAAAAAGATTCTGAAACAAATAGTGTCTAAAATATTTTATGTGCATTAAAACCCAACATCACAGTCATAAACACATGTAATCAACCCTGTAGAGTAAACAGCAGCATTTAGAACCATTTTAGAGCCGGGCAAGCACACAGAGACCACACAGAGCCGGGCAAGTAAAAAAACTTTTTTTTTAAAGTATATGTGTAGGCTATATTTGGACCATAAGACGCAGGGACTTTTTCCCCCCACTTCTGGGGGGGAAAAAGTGCGTCTTATGGTCCGAAAAATACGGTAAATAAAAAGGTGTCCTCCTTTGAGGAGTCTCTAGTCTGTGCCTCACTGGTGACTTTGAGTCCCTCCAAAGTTCCCCCCTCTTCCCTTCCAGAGCTCCGGGAGGCGTTTCTGGAGTTCGACAAGGACCGAGACGGGTTCATCTCCTCTAAGGACCTGGGAAACCTCATGAGGACCATGGGCTACATGCCCACGGAGATGGAGCTGGCCGAGCTGGACCAGCAAATCCGCATGAACCGTGAGGCTGGGGACGGGAGCGACTCCCGGGTGAGGGGAGGGCTCAGGGGGCAGCGGGGAAGGAGAGAGAGGCTGAGAGCAGTTGGAGAGGGTCAGAGGGTCAGAGGGACTGCTCTTAGGGAGGCAGCATTGACGTGGTGAAAATGGTGGCTCTTAGGGGTAGATTTGGGTTCGAGTCCCAGGCTGTTAGTTACTAATGTGGCCATTTTGAAAAGTGGAGGTAAGGCCTGGGACTCTCAACATTTTTTTTCTTCAGTTTCCCCGTCTGTTGAGTGAAGATGATATCACTCCTTACTTTATGAGACTGTGCGAAGGGAGGGATAAAGATGCTAATGCAGGTAAAGCCTTAGCTTCCAGCAAATGCTTATTCAATCTCAGTTATTACTACACCACCAAGATTCATCAATGGAGCACCAGATTGGAACTGCTTTTAAAAATTTTTTAGTGTTGCAAAAAGGATGTTTATTTCTTTATTTTTTTTCAGACAGCAAGTAGAGCTGATCTGGGGAGGGAAGCTGGGTTTGCCTCTGGGCAGGTTACTGAGTGAACAGGGTTGAATTTGAGGACTTGGAAACATTCACATCTGGGAGAGACTTTGGTGCTCATTGAACTCACACACTCCTTCTACCGACGAGGGGCGTAGATGTGGAGCAAGGAGGAGGTTTATTCCAGGCCCCACGGATAGTCAGCTCCCCCGCTCCTGCCCCCCACTCCACACCCCTCCACCCTGTTCGGATCAGCTCCCCACCTCCCGCCCCCCACTCCACACCCCTCCACCCTGTTCGGATCAGTGTCCCGGGGGCTTGCGTTGGCTGAGAGAGGTCAGAGGGCAGAGCGACCGGAGAGGGCCTATGGCTCGGACAGACGGAAGGGCACAGCGGGCAGGGGGGGGCGGGCATGGGGACCTCACTGCCTGCCTCTCCCTCCCCAGGGGGCGGCCGGGTTGCCTTTGAGGACTTTGTGGAGCTGATGGCCCCCAAGCTGCTGGCAGAGACGGCGGGCATGATCGGCCTCCAGGAGCTGAGAGACGCCTTCAAGGAAGTGAGTGAGGGTGCCACCATGCGGGGGTGGCTAAGCTCACCCAGAGGCCCATGACTGGACATTAGCCATGGACAGAGTCCTCCCCAAACCAACTGTTTTTCTAGCTATGGTGGGATTTATTTTTTATTTTTTTAAATATATTTTATTGATTTTTTTTTTTTACAGAGAGGAAGGGAAAAGGATAGAGTTAGAAACATCTTTTTTGAAAAAAACATATTTTATTGATTTTTTTTTTTTTACAGAGAGGAAGAGAGCTAGAAACATCAATGAGAGAGAATCATCGCTCAGCTGCCTCCTGCACGCTCCCCACTGGGGATGTGCCCGCAACCAAGGCACATGCCCTTGACCGGAATCGAACCTGGGACCTTTCAGTCCGCAGGCCGGCGCTCTATCCACTGAGCCACACCGTTTTTTTGGCTTGTTTATTTATTTTAGAGAGAGCGAGAGGAGGGGGAGAGAGAGAAACACGGATTTGCTGTTCCATTTATTTATGCATTCATCGGTTGCTTCTTGAATGTGCCCTGACCAGGGATTGAACCCACCACCTTGTTGTATCGGGACGATGCTCTCACCAACGGAGCTCCCTGGCCAGGGCCGCTAGTCGCCTTACTCACAAATATGAGGAGCCTGAGGCTCACGGATATGACAGATCTCACCCACAATCCTGGGATCTCCGAGACACATTAGGACCCACGGTGTGCTAAGGCAGTGATCGGCTCGTTGGCCCCTTAAGTGTTCTAACGCCACTTCTTCAAAATAGGCCCGCCCGGGCCGAAACCCGACTTCTGCGCATGGGCCTCGCAGTTTCCATCGCTCACCGTGCGTGTGCGCCCGCACGTGGTATTTTGTGGAGGGGCCACACTCAAGGGGCCAAAGAGCCCCATGGGGCTCCCGAGCCATGGTTTGCTGACCACTGTACGGATGCGTTCCATCAGTTAAACCAAGCATTCTTTTTAAACACATGAATCAGTTTCAGAGAGGAAGACGGAAGGAGAGGGAGATAGAAACATCAATGGTGACAGAGAGCCACTGATCAGCCGCCTCCTGCACACCCCGCACTGGGGATTGAGCCAGCTAGGGCGCAAGCATTCCTTTATAAAATGGAAACAAATTGCCCTGGCTGGTGTGGCTCAGTGGCTAGAGCGTTGGCCTGCAGACTGAAGTGTCCCAGGTTTGATTCTGGCCAAGGGCACATGCCCGGGATTATGGGCTTGATCCCCAGTAGGGGGCGTGCAGGAGGCAGCCGATCAACGATTCTCTCTCATCGTTGATGTTTCTATCTCTCTATCCCTCTCCCTTCCTCTCTGAAATCAATAAAGAAATGTTTTTTAAAAAAATAAATTGAAACAAATTCAATTTCTAGTCAATACATGAGAAAAACTAACAATTCGGTCCCTCAGTCACACTTGCTTCAAAGGCTCGATTGCCGCTTGGCCAGCGGCGGCTGGCCTGGACAGAGCGGGCCCAGGGCCACGGGAGTTCTGCTGGACGCTGCAGCTCCAGGTCTTTCCACGAAGCGGGAGCTTGAACCCCACCATGAGCAGGTGGGCCTCTCGGGGTTTCGGGCCCACGCTGGCCTGGCTCCAGTCTTTCCTCCCTAACCCCATACTCTTCTGTCTTTGCCTCATACGGCTGAACGCGCTCCGAGCGAGGACAGCATGTAATCAGGGGTGGGCGTGCGCTTCAGCCAGCCCCATGCTGCCTGGATCTCATGTGTAAAGCATCTCTTCTCTGCAGCACGTGCATTGAACCACACGAGCTGGGCATCGCTTCTGCGGCCTCACATGTTTTTATTCTGTCTTCTCGTTACACACGAGCAGACGAGGGGGCCTAATGGGTCTTGGAGATTCCAGGGTCTTGGGTAAGATTCGCAATATCCACGAGCGGCTGGCTCCTCTTATTTGTGATTAAGATGACTCCTGGCCCTCCTCCGTTGGTTAGGGCAGCATGCCGATACACCAAGGTAGTGGGTCCGTGAGTCTCCCATGTAGGTGCACATTTTGTGAGATCTAGGTACAGGCCAGGCTCTGGCTGGGTAGCTCAGTTGGTTGGAATGTTGTCCCAACAAGCCAGGGTTATGGGTTCGACCCCTGTGTTTGTTGCTGTTGTTAATCCTCACCTAAGAATATTTTCCCCCATTGATTTTAAGAGAGAGTGGGAGGGAGGGAAAGGGAAGAGAGAGAGAGAGAAACATTTCATGTGAGAGAGAGACACACCGATTGGTTGCCTCCTGCATGCGCCCTGACCAAGGCAGGAATCAAACCTGCAACCAACCCATTCTTTTGTAAAATATATATTTCTTTATTGATTTCAGAGAGGAAGAGAGAAGGAGGGAGAGATAGAAACATCAGTGATGACAGTACCGACACTCTAACCATTTGGCGACATTGGCCAAGGCAGATTTATATTTTATTTATTTTTTTTATGTTTTTTATTTTTAAATATTTTTAAAATTGATTTCAGAGAAGAAGGGAGACGGAGAGAGGGAGAGAGAGAGAGGGAAACTTCAATGATGAGACAGAATCATTGATCTGCTGCCTCCTGAACGCCCCCTCCTGGGGATTGAATCCGAAACCCGAGTTCATGTGCCCTTGACTGGAATTGAACCTGGGACCCTCCAGTCCGCAGGTCAACGCTCTATCCGCTGAGCCAAACCAGCTAGGGGCGGGTTAGGTTTTAAATGGACGTGATGTGAAGTGCTGGTATGTGGACACAGACCCTGTAGGGCTGCGATGGGAACGGGAGGACCCATAGAAGGCTGTTGCCATAAACCTGACCAGAGGTGACTGTGGCCGCACTGGGTTAGCGTCAGCAGAGCCGGAGAGAGGTGGTTGGCTCCCAGGGCACTGTGGGCAGAGAGCGGACACGAAGCCCAGGTACATGGGTGGAGGGCCTGCAGTGGACAGGCTTGGAGGCAATTAATTAATTCAGCAAACATTACCCAGTGCCGCCGTGTGGAAGGCACGTCTGGAGGCTGAGGGCGGAGCAGTGACGGATGTCACCTGCCCTCCAGGAGGTGACATTCTCCTGAGTGACAACGAGCAGCAGCTCTTAGCTTGGCCAGCAGGGGGCGTGCAGGAGGCAGCTGATCAATGATTCTCATCACTGATGTTTCTCTCTCTCTTTCTCCCTTCCTCTCTGAAATCAATAAAGAAATATATCTAAAAATTTTTATTTTAAAAATATATTTTTATTGACTTTAGAGAGGAGGGAAGAGGGATGAGAGATAGAAATAGAAACATCAATGATGAGAGAGAATCATTGATTAGCTGCCTCCAGCACGCCCCCTACCGAGGATCGAACCCGCAATCCAGGCATGTGGAATTGAACCTGGGAACTTTCAGTACGCACGCCGATGCTCTATCCCACATGTGTCAAACACAAGGCCCGCGGGCCAAATCCGTCCCGCCAGGCCTTGCAATGTGGCCCGCACCGCGCTGTCATCACTGCATTCAGCTGCGTTTCCATCACAATGACAGTTTATGACTGTTCAGTAAACCATTCGGCCCGTGATTTAGGCTGGATTTTAGATTTTGGCCCCTTCTCTGATTGAGTTCGACACCCCTACGTCTATCCACTGAGCCAAACCAGCCAGGGCATGATTTCTTTAATACCACTTTCTCTAGCACACTGTGTTGTACACATACAGCCTACAACACATATAACGTACAAAACAGGTGTTGACGGACGGCTTTATGTATGGGTGAGGCTTGAGGTCAGCAGGGGGCTGTCGTGGTTGAGTTTGGGGGGAATCAAAAGTCACAGGCAGCCGAAACCGGTTTGGCTCAGTGGATAGAGCGTCAGCCTGCGGACTGAAGGGTCCCAGGTTCCATTCTGGTCAAGGGCATGTACCTTGGTTGCGGGTGCATCCCCAGTAGGAGGTGTGCAGGAGGCAGCTGATCGATGTTTCTCTCTTATTGATGTTTTTAACTCTCTATCCTTTTCTCTCTGTAAAAATATCAATAAAATATATATTTTTTTAAAAAGTGACAGGCAGGGGGTGGGCGCCCTCGCCCCGGGCCATCCAGAAGGCCACCTGCCCTGTCCCCTCCTGCCCGTCCTCAGTTCGACGCCAACGGGGACGGGGCCATCACGCTGGCGGAGCTGCGGCGGGCGCTGCAGAGGCTGCTGGGCGAGGAGCTGAGCCCGCGGGAGCTGGCCCAGGTGGTGCGGGAGGCGGACGTGAACGGGGACGGCACCGTGGACTTCGAAGGTGACGCTGCCGGCGATCGCTCCCTGCGTGGTTCCCCGAGTCCTCCGCTCCACCCCTCCTCGCCGCCCCTCCCCCTCCCCCCCGCCCCTCCCCGCGCCTCCCCCTCCTCCCTCCTCCTTCCCCCCCCCGCCTCCCCGCTCTTCCTCCTCCTCCCCGCCCCTCCCAGCTCCTCCCCGCTCCTCCCCCTCACCCCCTCCTCCCTCCTCCTTCCCCCCCCCGCCTCCCCGCTCTTCCCCCTCCTCCCAGCTCCTCCCCGCTCCTCCCCCTCACCCCCTCCTTTCCCCCCACCCCGCCTCACCGCTCTTCCTCCTCCGCCCCCCTCCTCCCCCCCCCCCCCCCTCCCCCCCCCCCCCTCCCCCCTTTCCCCCCCCCCCCGCCTCACCGCTCTTCCTCCTCCTCCCCACTCCTCCCCACTCCTCCCCGCCCCTCCCCGCCCCTCCCCGCTCCTCCCCCTCACCCCCTCCTTTCCCCCCACCCCGCCTCCCCGCTCTTCCTCCTCCTCCCCGCCCCTCCCTGACCCTCCCCGCTCCTCCCCCTCCTCCCAGCTCCTCCCCGCGCCTCCCCCTCCTCCCTCCTCCTCCCCACTCCTCCCCGCCCCGCCTCCCCACTCTTCCTCCTCCTCCCCGCCCCTCCCAGCTCCTCCCCCCCTCCTCCCCACTCCTCCCTGCTTCTCCCCGCCCCTCCTCCCCAGCCCTCCCCGCCCTCCTGCTCTTCCCCCTCCTCCCCTCCCCTCCCCGCTCCTCCCCCTCACCCCCTCCTCCTCCCTCCTTTTCCCCCCCCCCCCCGCCTCACCGCTCTTCCTCCTCCTCCCCACTCCTCCCCACTCCTCCCCGCTCCTCCCCCTCACCCCCTCCTCCTCCCTCCTTTTCCCCCCCCCCCCCGCCTCACCCGCTCTTTCCTCCCCCTCCCCACTCCTCCCCACTCCTCCCTGCTCCTCCCCGCCCCTCCCCGCTCCTCCCCCCCCCCCCCTCCTTCCCCCCCTCCCCGCCTCCCCGCTCTTCCTCCTCCTCCCCGCCCCTCCCCGCCCCTCCCCGCGCCTCCCCCTCCTCCCCCCTCCTTCGCCCCCCCCCCCCGCCTCCCCGCTCTTCCTCCTCCTCCCCGCCCCTCCCAGCTCCTCCCCGCTCCTCCCCCTCACCCCCTCCTTTCCCCCCCCCCCCCCCGCCTCCCCGCTCTTCCTCCTCCTCCCCACTCCTCCCCGCCCCTCCCCGCCCCTCCCCGCTCCTCCCCCTCACCCCCTCCTTTCCCCCCACCCCGCCTCCCCGCTCTTCCTCCTCCTCCCCGCCCCTCCCCGCTCCTCCCCGCTCCTCCCCCTCACCCCCTCCTCCTCCCTCCTTTCCCCCCCCCCGCCTCCCCGCTCTTCCTCCTCCTCCCCGCCCCTCCCTGACCCTCCCCGCTCCTCCCCCTCCTCCCAGCTCCTCCCCGCGCCTCCCCCTCCTCCCTCCTCCTTCCCCCCCCCCGCCTCCCCCCTCCTCCCCGCCCCTCCCCGCCCCTCCCTGCTCTTCCCCCTCCTCCCCGCCCCTCCCTGCTCTTCCCCCTCCTCCCCGCGCCTCCCCGCTTCTCCCTGCTCCTCCCCGCCCTTCTCCGGCCTCAGGATGGGGTGGCAGGTTTGGGGAGGGTAAAAGATTTCCCAAGGACACGCAGAAAGGGCTCAGAAAGGTGCTGCCGCCTCACCAGGACTTTGTTCGCAGAGTTTGTGAAGATGATGTCCCGCTGAGGAGGCCCTGGGCGCGCCCGCCGCCCCCACCTGCAGACGGGGATCAGCCAGAGGATGGGGACCGGATGCCCTGGGAGGCGGGGGGGAGGGAGGGGCGCTGTGCACTGGACTGAGGCCTGGGGTGGGGGTGGGGGTGAGGGTGAGGCTGGGGATGGGGGAAGGACAGCTCCAGAACTGGGGTGAAGAGGAGGAATCTGGGAATGGGAACAGGCCTGGGGTCCAGCTGCCGCTCCCAATAATCCCGGCGATGAACCCCACCTTTGGACGCCACGGAATCCCACCTCCCGGCCCCCCGCCCCCTGCCCCCTGCCCGCCTCTTCCCCAGCCTCCTCTCCCTCCTCCTGTGCAGACCGGTCTGTCCTCCTCCCGGAGGCCAGCACGCGGGCCTGCCTCCCCCTCCTCCGCCCTCCGCCGGTTCCCTGGTTCCTGGACCACAGGGAGCTGCCCAGCACCGGCGGCCCGAGCCTGCGGAGATGGGGTGGGAGGTGGTTCTTTCCCCTCGGCCTGCGTCCCCCTCCCCCTCCCCCTCTGGTCCTCCATTTGGGGGGTGTGGGAAAGGGACTCAGGCCACAGAATTAAACCGCAGGTCAGATCATTCGGGTTTAGGCTAAGCGGATCCCAGTGAGTTAATTCCCGCGAAATGCCATCATCCTGGAGAGAGACAGGGGACAGCAGCTCCCCAGAGCCCTGGCCGGAGCCCCACCTCCGCCACGCCCTCTGCCGGCTGCGCAGGGAGAGCCTCCCAACCCCCCAACCCAACACCTAGGTCCTGGCTGCAGAACCAGAACCGAGGCTGCTGCTGCTGCTGCTGCTTCGTCTTCTTCTTCTTCTTCTTCTTCTTCTTCTTCTTCTTCTTCTTCTTCTTCTTCTTCTTCTTCTTCTTCTTCTTCTTCTTCTGCTTCTTCTTCTTCTGCTGCTGCTTCTTCTTCTTCTTCTTCTTCTTCTTCTTCTTCTTCTTCTCCTTCTCCTTCTTCTGCTTCTTCTTCTCCTGCTTCTTCTGCTTCTTCTGCTGCTGCTTCTTCTTTTTCTTCTTCTTCTTCCCCCTCCTCCTCCTCCTCAACCTCCTCCTCCTCCTCCTTCTCCTCCCCCTCCTCCCCCCTCTCCCTGCCAGCAGGAAGCCCTCCCCCTGCAGAGTGCAGCTCCCGCCTTCCTCCCTGTCATGCTCACATCTGAAATCCAGCAGGAAGATATGCAGAACGGCCCGCCGGCTCCAACAGCCTGTTGCATAGAATTAAAAAGTTTAAAAAGCGGAGTCAGTCCGGCAGGCGAGGCTCAGGGATGGACCCCTGACCTAGGAACCAGGAGGTCATGGTTTGATTCCCGGTCAAGGGCGCCTGCCCAGGTTTCCAGCTGGATCCCCAGTGGGAGACGTGCAGGAGGCAGCTGCTCCATGATTCTCTCTCATCATTGATGTTCCTCTCTCTCCCCCTCTCCCTTCCTCTCTGAAATCAATAAAAATATATTTTTAAAACACACACTAAAAGTCTGTGGGTTTTTGTTTTTTTTTAAAGTAGAATCAGTATAATGTATTTCCTGACCCCATGGTTGGCAAACTGCAGCTCGAGAGCCACATGTGGCTCTTTGGCCCCTTGTGTGTGGCTCTTCCACAAAATACCACGGTCTGGGCAGGTCTATTTTGAAGAAGTGGCGTTAGCAGAAGTTTAAGTTTAAAAAATGTGGCTCTCCAAAGAAATTTCAATCGTCGTCCTGTTGGTTTCTGGCTCTGTGGACTAATGGGTTTGCCGACCACTGGGCTAACCCATGCCTGAGGCCTCTCCTTGTCCTTTTCCATCCGGAGACCGTGGCATTTTACGCTTTCTACCCTTCTCTCGCTTTCCCCTCCCTCCACCCTCCTTCCACCTTTGTTTGCTCAACAGCGATGCGTGAAGTGCTTGTCATGTGCAAGCTCGTTCCAAGTCCTCCTCCCCCTCTTCCCTCCCCCCAACCCCCACCCCAAAGCCCAGGAGTGTACACTGTAATGGGAGGAGACAGCCACAGAACCAAGTAAAGGAGCCAATGTAACTGTGCGGAGACGGTTAGAAGGTGGTGAGAGAGATGGGGGGGGGGGGGGGAGATGGAACAGAAGAGGGGCTGGAGGGCTCGGGAAAGGCAGAGGAGCTGTCATTGCCCAGGGCCCGGGGGGGGGGGGGGTGACTGTGAGCATCGGGGACGGGTGCAGGGTGCTTGCAAAGGCCTGGAGCAGGAATGTGCCTGGAGGCCAGGGGGCGGGAGAGGGTGGGTGGAGGCGTGGGAGGCACTTAGACAGACATGGGTGGAGCAGGGACGATGGTCCAGGGGTGGAAAGCCCTCAGGGCCTTGTTGGGGGGTGGGGATTTTGAGCGTGCTTAAAAATAGACTTGTCCGAGCTGACACCGGGCCAGGCCTTGAGATAGGGCCTCATGGCCCCTTCCCAGCTCTTAGGCCTTCTTTCACAGAACACGGCCAGCTTTCTGAAGAACAGGATGACCCTGTGAACAACATGGCCGTCAATGGCATGACCCTGACGTGGCTTAGGAAAAACTGTTTTGTCTTGGGTTGCTTGCTCTGCAAGAACAGGATGTGGTTAATGGGCTTAAAAGTGAATTTACACCAAGGGTGGGGGCTGCTCTCTGGATTCCCTGCGTGGAGAAAGGCAGAGCAGTCACTGGTTGGCTGGCCGGCTAATAAAGGCTCCCTAAATTTTAATTTGGTCTGGGCTCCAGTGGTCATTCACTCGCCTGGGCTCCACTACAGGCCTAACAACAGACAACTGTGGGAGGATGGGGGGGCCTTGTCCCAGGGTGACCTGTGCTCCCCTAGCACATCGCTGGCCATGCGGTTTGGACCTCCTGAACTTTTCCCCCCTGGAGTCAACATCCAGGCCTCCATTGTATTTCAGCTCCAGGCCCAAAAAAGCAGCAAAACCAGACAAGGGATGACACGGCCACGGCTACTCTCAGGACCAACTGCACTGCATGATGACCCCTGTCCTGGAACTGGCCTGTCAAACAGAGGGGACTCCAACCCTGAGAGGACACACCTGGAAAGCAGCTGGATAATCTATGGAGCTCTTCCCCTGGGACCTCCCCCAAATCTCCCCCCTTCACCTCTGGACGCAGGACCCATGGTGCTCTCCCTCCCAGGAGCACACCCACAGCTGCCTGTCTCCCTCAGGCTCCCCCAGGCCTGTTCCCATTACCTTCTTCATTCCCCAGCTCGGAGCGCCCTTCTTTGGCCTCTGTCACTTGTTTTCTGAGCCCATGGCTTCACCACACATTTCTTCCACCTCTGTGATTCTCTTTTCTTCCTTCATTTCTTCCTTCCTTCCTTCCTTCCTTCCTTCCTTCCTTCCTCCCTTCCTTCCTTTCTTCCTTCCTTCCTTATTTCCTTCCTTCCTTCCTCCTTTTAATATATTTCTTTATTGATTTCAGAGAGGAAGTGAGAAGGAGAGCGTGTTAGAAACATCAATGATGAGAGAGAATCATTGATCGGCTGCCTCCTGCACGCCCCCTATCGGGGATAGAACCCACATCCAGACATGTGCCCTTGACCGGAATCAAACCTGGGATCCTTCAATCCGCAGGCTGATGCGCTGTCCACTGAGCCAAGCCGGCCAGGGCAGCCTCTGTGATTTTCTAAGTTGATGTTTGCTCACGGGTTAAATCTTGGCTCTGAATTCTTTCTCAGCCAGAACTCAAGTTCCGAGGTTGTGGAACCAAAATCCGATCTGACCCATGGGTCTAACATCCAGTGCCATTCCTGCTGCCGCCAACAGCAAGGGGTCAGCGTGGGTCAGGGGTTCCATCATGCGAGTGCGTTCTCCGAGGCCATTGTAAGGATCTCGAAAGGTTCAGAGCAGAGCCTTTCCAAGCTGACTTCTGCCTCCTGTCCCAGCTCCATCCCATCCATCTCTACACCCACCCACCCAGCCCCTCCCTCACGCAGACGGTATCATATTTTCTGAGCCCCTACTGTGTGCCTGGCATGGTCAGGTGAGGGAAGTAGAGCACTGATAAGGGACTTGACCGCAAGGAGCTTCTATTTTATTTTAATGTTTTATTTTTTTAATTTTATTTTAAAATATATATATTTTTATTGATTTTTTTTTTTTTTTTTTTTTTTTTTTTTACAGAGAGGAAAGGAGAGGAATAGAGAGTTAGAAACGTCGATGAGAGAGAAATATCAATCAGCTGCCTCCTGCACACTCCTCACTGGGGATATACCTGCAACCAAGGTACATGCCCTTGCCCGGAATTGAACCTGGGACCTTTCAATCTGTAGGCCACTGAGCCAAACCAGTTTCAGCAAATGCTTTATTTTTTTTTTAAGATATATTTTAATTGGTTTTAGAAAGGAAGGGAGAGGGAGAGAGAAAGTTAGAAACATCAATAATGAGAGAGAATCCTTAAACGGCTGCCTCCTGCATGCTCCCCTACTGGGGATCAAATCCACAACCCGGGCCTGTGCCCTTGGCCTGAATCGAACCTGGGACTCTTCAGTCTGCAGACCGACACTCTATCTATCCACTGAGCCAAACCAGCTCGGGCAAGGAGCTTACCGTATATGTTAGAGCTACACAAATAAATAGGCTTTTCGGCAATGATGGAAATGTCCTTGATCTGTGCCCTGCATTCTGGCAGTCGCTAGCCGTATGTGGCGATTAAGTATTAAATGTGAGTGTCACCACACAGGATTAGGGCCCAGAGCAGCCCTGCCTCAGGCCGGCCCTTAGTGCGTGGGTTTCTGACTTCGTGCGGGAAAGATTTCACAACGTGAGTCCAGGTGGCTGTGAGAGTGTGTTCATTAAAGTGGGGACAGCGGCACAGGAAGGGCTTAGGCAGAAGGAGCTACAGGAGTTCTAGGCGGCGGCTGTCAGCTCGCTGGGAAGTCCGAGCAAAGGGGCCCTTGGAGACAGGATTGAGCGGGACGGGGGGGAGGGGTAAACTTGGGACGAGCTGCCGCTGCCCACTGCTCCCCTGGTTGCAAGTCTCATGGGGACCCTTCGAGTTCTTAGGAGGAAG